AAATAGACTCGGTGCGGAAACGATCTCTGCACTGCTGCAGACACACCGCTCCTAAACGCACTGCCGGACCGCAACCGTGTGTGCAGTGTGAACGCTTTAATCCGTTAACATGAGCGCGGAAAAAATATGCACTGCAAACAAAGTAATGTGAATCTGGCGTTATGTGTGTGTGTGTGTGTGTGTGTGCGCTGCTAGTGTGCATGAGTGCACGGTCTCCAGGAGAACACGCGAGCGTTGAATGGTTAAACACTGGTGAGAATTAAAAAGAAAAAAATGCAATTTATAAACTTCAGTGACGATGCGACACTGCCTCGATAGTGCAAGTGACAATTCGTGTATCAACTGTGCAGCGTGCAGCTCACTTATAGAGCAGACGCGATGTGATTTGAAGCCATTTGCATTTTGAGAGGGAAAGAGAGTGCGCGAGTCAGCTTGAGATCGTTTTTTTGAGATTGGCCTTTTTAGAGACGGCCGATCAATCATCTCAAAGCGATTATCGGCCGATAGTGATCGCTCGGTAGCCGATCAATCGGAGCACCCCTATTTAAAATGCACACAAATTATAATTAAGGCATATTTAAAAGCGCGCGCGGTGATTCACTCACGCTGTTTGTGAAATTATGTCTCACAGAAACTTTTTCAAATTACTTTATAAGTTATTTAATGAAGAAATATGAATTGTACCTCACCTAAAGCATTATAATTATTTCACCAGCGCCGGACAGAGACTGAGACAGTGCCGCTGCATGTCATGCCAAACCTTCTCACGGCAGGCGCGTCATCAGCTTTAGATTGGTTTTTTGAGATCGGCCTTTTTAGAGACCGCCGATCAATCATCCCAAAGCGATTATCGGCCGATAGTGATCGGTAGCCGATCAATCGGAGCACCCCTAAAAACAACACCCTTTTAAACTTTCAAAAACAGCTCTGTTTACAGCAAGCCGTTTTAGTACATTTCCCTTTAAATGCTAATGAGCTCTGCTCACCCCACCCACAGTTCTCTGAGAGACTGTAAACTTTAGCCGCATTCATCGTGAAACTTGGTAACTAGCACATTATTAGGAAAGGCGATTTACAAAATTCATTAAAAAAAACGTATACTCACTTCTTCTGGAGGTGAAGCTGGATCACGAATGATTCGTGCGAACATAGACGCATTTAGGTAGGTAAACAAACATAATCCACTGCGTCTTCAGCGGCTCAGATGTCGGGAGTAAATGACGACTGCTATGTTCATTATTATATCCAACAACAAAACACCTCAATCGCTTAGGAGCTATTCTTGTCTACCCCTGCTCCGGTGTTGAAACAATGGCGGACTGATGACAGCTCACTCAGGGCGGGTCTAAGGTAAAACACCAGTGTCAATCAACAATCGTGGGAGCGGCCTTGCCCAGTGTGACGTCACACTGGCAGGAATCTGAGAACGGCTTGATATGAGAAAGGGGTTTGGATTTATCGAGATTTAAAAAAAAAACACTGGGTGGATTTTTATCATTATAGCGTGGTTGTGTACACACACTGCCAAGATACATTTCAGTTCAAACAATATGTAAAAGTGAATTTTGCATCTGATGACCCCTGTAATAAAAGACAGTTATTTAAGGTAACCCTTTAGATTAGGGAACACATTCACAATTAACTATATAAAGTTAAATTATAAAAAGAGTTTTCCCTCAATAGGTATGGGGTAGGATTAAGGGATGTAGAATATGGTCAGAATTAGGGCTGTGCAATAAGAAAAAAATTTGGTATTATCGAGATTTAAAAAAAAAAACACTGGGTGGATTTTTATCATTATAGCGTGGTTGTGTACACACACTGCCAAGATACATTTCAGTTCAAACAATATGTAAAAGTGAATTTTGCATCTGATGACCCCTGTAATAAAAGACAGTTATTTAAGGTAACCCTTTAGATTAGGGAACACATTCACAATTAACTATATAAAGTTAAATTATAAAAAGAGTTTTCCCTCAATAGGTATGGGGTAGGATTAAGGGATGTAGAATATGGTCAGAATTAGGGCTGTGCAATATATCGAAATTATCGAAATATCGCAAATGTACATATCGCAATATACACGATCTTCCCACCCCTATCCGGAATGCTGAATCCCTGACAATTTTCAAGCGACAGCTGAAAACTCATCTCTTTCGAATCTACTTGACTTCATCATCATCATTATAAAAAAAAATAAATAAATAAATTTCTCTCTCTTTATTTATTCCTTCTCTTTCTAGCTTGTACTTATTTGAACAATGTCTAGAAACTTGGTATTACAAGCACTTCCTGTATCTGTTTGCCTCTTTAAGAAGAATCGCTTTATGT